CTTAGAACAACATCAAATCTTTGACCCATTAGAGGACGTGGAAGGTAAGAATTTACTGAACCTGGCCAGTGAAAGGGGTACAGATTTGTTAGCCAAGTACAATGCTCAATATAATCCCGAAGTAGTCAATGATAAGGAATTTCGAGAACGAAATTCTTTTAAGGGGGAAAGAGTGTGAGAACCCGTATTGCCTAATATTTTTCTAGGGTTTATTTCCCCTTAATTGCATGTTTTCTGCATTTTCTGGCTTAGAAATATTTTCTTAGTGGATTTTATGAGCAATTATGGTTTTAAGATGATTTTTCTAGTATTGGAGAATTTTTAGAAAATTAAGAGTAAATAGTGGACGTGGGACCCACTAGTGCGAAAAGTTCGGAAAAATTCGGCCAATAAGGTTAAGTTTCGGATACTGTGTAAAATTTATCGGGTGTTAAGTGATAAGTAGAGTGTGTGAAGTGATTGATGTGAGAGAGAAAAGAAAGATAGGAAGGCATTTAATGAGATGCCACATGTCACCTTCTCATTGGTTATGACTTAAGAAACACTATTCATCTTTTGACAAATTTTTTGACTTTTGACCAATTAGTTAATATCTCCAAAAATTCACAAAAAATTCCTCATTTTTCTTTCTCTTTGGCCGGCCATCTCAAGCTCCACAAGGGAGAAAGTTCATCAAATTTCAAGCTTCCATCTCACTCAATCTTCCATAAACAAAAGCTTAGACTAGATTTCACTCCATAAAATCCTATCTTCTAGTGCTAGTAAGGGTTGTAGTGAAGTTGTTTTGAAGAGCAAAGGTGTCTACAATCTCTCTTTCCCTTGTTTCTTGGTAAGTGATGCTACAACCTCCCCCTATACCTAATGATGGTTATATTATGCTTAATGGTGGCATGAGTGAAGGAATATATGATTTGTTTCTTGATTTGGCTTGTTTTGGAGAAGTTTTTATTTTATTGGGAATTTTTCTGGTTTAATATGATCTTGGTGTTGGGGGCTGGTATGATGAATTGTAATGGTTGGAAATGACTCTAGTGAGTGTGAATTGTGGTTAAATGTAATCAATTTTGGATTTGGTGTGAAAAATGGAAAGTTAGGGTTCATAAAATTCCAATTCTGTCCGGTTTTAGCTCACTGGGTTAGAGGCCGAACTAGACTTTGTTCAAAACATGAAAGTTGTAGGTATTGATGTGTTTGAGGTGCCTGTAAAATTTCAGGTCATTTGGATGAGTGTAGAGTGAGTTATACGTTTTTACTGTAGCTGTTCTGTTTTGATCAGAATGCGAAAACTGCGATAGTAATTGGCCCTTTTGACTGGAATTGGTTTGGATTTTGAAGTTGGTGTCTTCTGATGAAATGTAACTGAATGTCTTAGCTAACATATTCCTTTGGAATTTCGGATTTGGACTTGTATGGACTGAGTTATACCGATTACAGTTTTTTTGGTTTTGCAAACCTGTTTTGGTGATTCTGGGTTAGTATTTTGCATATTTGACCTAGTTGTGTTAGGAATGGATTGAGTGACCTTCTACATTTGTGTAGCCCTGTTTCTTGGCTTCGAAACGGTAGGTCTTACACCCCTATCCGATAATTGTAGTGAGAGTTGTACCATTACCGCATTATGACGTCAAAACCGGTTTTCCTATGAAGGCTTAAGTTCAAGCCCTTTCTTAATTTCTGGTTTGCTATTATGCTTGTACATGGTTATAAAACCCTATTGGGGTTGTGATTGGCATTGTTTATGGCTCGGTATTGAGTCTCATAGTACTTGCTTACGTGTTCTAGGGCGTGACGGTGGTTTCACGACATTCCCCTGACGGAAGTGCATGACATAGCACTTAATTGCTTAGTGAGTATACTACTCACTTACTTGTTATAATATGGCTTTGCTCTATGTGTATTTGATGCCTTGAACGCTTAATTGGTTATTGGAAGTGATTGAGGTGAGGTGTACTTGACCGCCCTCACCCCTTGTGATTTCATTCATGACTGCTTACTGTTATATGAAATACTGCACTGGCTATATGAGTTATTGAATTGCAATCTTGGAAAACTGATTTGGTGTTGTTTGGACGATGTCCAACGACCTCATTGTATTATTGAGCTCAATCCCGTTTGGTGGTCATTTGGATCGAGCCGGCAAGGGCTTGGTCGTGATAAGTGACATACCACGGGGACTGCACTGAGGAACCTTGTAGTAATGAGACTCTTGGTTCCGGTATACTCGAGTATTACAAAAGCTACTGAATTGGAGTGCGGGCCCGGTTGGGGTATGTTTGGTGGAAGGAATGGAGTGAAGTGAGATCTACGGTCGGGTATTCTTAAACATTGACGGAGGGTCAATGAGATTGGATCAAGAACGTAAGCGTGGAAACGGGCTCTTGAGAGCCATCCGTATCCTTTTACCGACTTGTTTACTTCTTAAGTGTGTACTTGAAATGAAAGATTATGCTTATGTGATCTTTACTGCTTATGTGGTAGTAACTCACTGGGCTTTAGCTCATCCCGTTCCATTTGTTTTTCTTACAGGGATATAATTACTTTTGGGACTGATTTGGATAGTCGATTGCCAAGTTGAGCTAGTGTAAATGGCTTTTGTTTAGCTTGTTGAATGAAACCCTATTGTGTATTGGGTTCATTTTCTTTGATTGGCAAATCGAGTATGTATATTCATGATAAATGGTTTTTGGCATGCCACTATGGTTGTAAAAGTTGAATTTCAATGTATATATATGTTTGGTTGATGATTGTATGGATTTCGGATTTAGACGCATTTCAAACGGAGAAGGAAAAAAAATTGGCGGGAATGAACAGGACCGAATCCGGCCAGGAATCCGGCCAGAAACTGGCCGGATTGCCGGCCGGATTGGGAAGGATTTTGGAAAAAATTTTGGTTTGCTCTCGGCCTTGTATCCGGCCGAGAATCCGGCCGGAAATCCGGTCAGATTCCGGCCGATTCTGACGTGTCCGTTATGTTCATCTTCGGCTTTGATTTTCTTTTTTTTATTTTTGCGATTTTGACTTGTTTGCGCGCTTCGGTATGTTCCGGAACGTAATAGATCGACGTAAACTATCCGTAGTCCTGGCGAGAGCTGGGCAGGCAGTCTGCTAACTCTTTGGTTCGCTAGGGGAAAGTGGGGCTGTTACATTTTACACCAACAGCATGTAGATGTCTGCCACTTATGTAAAATTACATGTACTTCAAATTTGGAATTAATTACATCGGCATCAATATTCGTTTGTATGTACCCTGACAGTGCATAAAAAACTACTCATAAATATGCTAATACTAAAACGACTTAGTTTAGAATCCTACATTACCTCCCTGAAACCAATGTCTTCAAATTTTACTATACCAATCATTTTTTTCAACTTGAGAAATAGTTACACATTTAATGGCTTCATGAAAATATCTGTCACTTGACTGCACTTGTGATGCTTGAGAGTTCATCTTTAACTGGCGATGGTGAGGGAAAGTTTGTGATTGCTTTGGGTCCTCGGAACCGAATAGCTGCATGATCATAAGGCATTGCAGCTTCTTCTGTTGTTTCATAAGTGCCAAGCACACCTGTTTTTGTTTAACAGGATCTCTTATCTCAGCTACCCAACTACCCCAATGACATTGACGCACACCATGAAACTTCTTGCACTTGTTTTCATCTTTGGACTCATCTTTTACTGTGCCTTTGCTTTTTCTCTTGTTCTCCACTACATTTATGTTGCTAGGTTTCTTTACATTCCCATCACCGTTACTATTTTCTTTAGAAGGGAGGTGCTTGAATATGATCTCGTTGATGTACTTTTTGACTCTATGGTGATGATCAGTGCGGCCCTCTTCATCACTAGAAGAATCAGTGTAGTGGGTGTGACGACCCTACCTCCTCCTAGGGCGTACCCCAGGTTTTGATTGATCGCTTGCCCAACTCTTGCCAGATCTCACTCACAAGTTCATTTACAATATAAGAACCTCGATAACAAAAGCAATAGCAACTTTGGCTTAGATATATATAATTCGTGGTCATCAAATTCTCATACAGACCCAAAATATAACAAGAGATTCAAGCTCAAGTCCATCTGTTAAAACTAGAAAAAACACTAGAACAAAAGACAAGGAGTCTAGACCAAAATGCCAGTGTTCTCCAATTCACTCGCCCATGATCTCGCCCCTTGTAAGAAAATAAACTAATGAAATGAGCTAACGTCCAGTAAGATACCAAGACAACATGCAAACGAAGTAGTAAGTTGGTGGTTACATATATCATAGGATAAGTCATTAACATTTCAAGTAAACAAATCAGATAAGCAATTAATACTTTCATGCATAAAGATACAGTTTGCTCTTGCGAGCCATTTCGATAGTAGCTTGATCAGGATCCGTTGACACTCCGTCAACCATGGAAATATAGTAACAAATCCGGTAGAGCACCGCTTATCTCTAATCTCCGTCCACCGTTTAACCCCCTACCGGGTTCGAACTCCAAAAATAATAGTAGAGGCAACCTTGAAGCTGCTGTAAGAGATTTAGTCCCTCAGTGACTACCAAAAAGGGGCTAAATCTCTCTTTAAACTGTAGGTCGAGGGTTTGAATCCCATTTACAGTGAAAAAATTCGTGTATCAGAATCAGATCACTCTTTTGGTCTAATTAGATCTGTATATCTGCTAGTCCCTTTCAGAGCTTCTTTAGACTCCCTTCCTATAAAATAGGATAGATTAGATTATATAAATGTTATCATTGCGGGAAAAAAAAGGAAGCAGTGGAAATTTTTTTTTCTGATCCCACCAAATGAATTAATGTACTGATAAACCATTAATCAAACAAACAGCTTGAATGAATGGTCAAGATGCTATACATAACGATGCTTTTATTAGAGCAAGATAAGATATAAATTTCGTTATATAATTGTGACCAATTAATCCTTCAAGGGCCATATACACCGACAAAACTAGCGGTCGAGGATCCTATGTATAACTTCCCAAGAATTCTTGTACTTCGCTAATCAAGTTATTTGTAAACAATGCCCAAATCGCCATTGATCCTTTGCCCAACAGACGAAGTTGTCTGAAAAGTTTGCCGATTTAAAATGGTCACAGCTGCAAAAAATTCCCCCGAAATGGTTCTTTTAATGTTATCTGGGCTCCCTGGAAGATTGACCAATATTTCTGAGAAGCCAGCCTTTGGACCACTCACCCAGTATCTTCGAACTCTCGATGCAATATATTCATCAATCAGAAGGTATGCACCATACTTGCTTACAGCAACTCCAAGTGGTCCAGACAGTCCATTTAGTAACAATGACAACGTTTTAGTTCTTGCATCATATTTGTATAACTTTCCTGAAGTGTCATTGCTCTGGATGATCGTGGAAAGATTCCTGCAAAACAATCAATTTTGCCCAGTTTTATAAGGCATGTCAATCTCCAAGAACGCTTAAATAATTTGATGATATTGAAATTTTCAACGAACCTGGAGAAAAATATTGCGCCAGCATCTGTGAAGTAAACAATTTGATTAGCTTGGTCGATGTCTAATGCATTAGGAAATGCAAAAGTGGTGCCATTGAATCCAGTTGCTAGCTGAGTTGCAAGCTCTCCACCAGGTGAAACCACTAGGAAACCGAATTTGAAGTCACGTACCCAACAGTGCCATTAACATTTTTGCAAGAACAAGGTGCAGTTACAAGGTAGTCATTTCTGTTGTTGTCAGTGATCGGCCTGATTTGTGATGTATTCACTGAGTAATAAGAAGCAATCTGCTCTTTTTAAAGCCATTGTGCTGGTAAAGGTAAGAATTGCACGTCTTGATGCTGTTAGAGCAGGCAAAAGGATATATACGACTAATCTGAGTTGGGTATGCAGAGTTCCCATAAACAGCACGCAGAGAGGGAGGGAAAAACAAGGTAACCACATTTCCTGGTGCCAAGCCATAGCCTTAGCTGAGGTTTGTTTGTGAAAGGAAGGAATTATTATGACAGAATCGCAATGTAGAAATTTCGATGTTAACTACTTCCATTTGTCATTATCTGCTTGAAGCTATTACACGGATTGAATATGTTTTGGTTCATCTTTGAAATGAAATCAACACATCACCTACAGGTTCCAATTTAAAAAAAAAACGATTGGGATATTGCAGCCTGTAAATATCTTATTGTAGCTAACGAAGTCTCTACCAATAAACAATTGCTTCAAGCTTTTGCTGGCAATATAACCTTTGCCGATCTTTACAATGTACTACTTATTAGCTTATGTATGTTCCTTTTTGGGTAGGTATGAGCTTATGTATGTTCGTTTCGCAACGGCCAGATGTATGCCCATCGCCTACTGCCTCTCTAGAAAGAACAGCAAGCAATAGATCATCCCAGGATCTATCTATCTCTCTTGTGTAATTGGAAATTCAAAGGTATCAGGCGATACAATTAATTTGCAGCCTAACTCGGAACCAATGCTTGGTATAGCTGTCTTTTTTGAGGCGTGCCTTCTTCGAAAGAAGTAGATTCGACTGTCACTTTGAGATATAGGTGGCAAATCAACCCATTTAATTAAATTTATCCATACCCATCCATGAATAGATGGGTATGGGTATCTTAAGTTTTACATATATGTATAAATGGGCTACCCAATAATACCCATCAAACCCAATTAATCCATTTAGAATTGTTTCCCCCAAATCTCCTCTCTTCCCCCGCCCATTTTTTTTCAGATTTTTATTTTGTTATATGTTAACTACTTATTGTTATTATATGGTTTTATTTTCTCTTAATTGTTAACTTACTCATTTTTAGCATTACTTATTAGCCTCTTTTCCTAATTTCCAAAATGAAATTTTAAATTTACATATGAAAAAAATATTAAGGGTTCAAAATTTTTGGATTAAGTTTTTATGTTAATTTGTATAGTACTTAATTTAAATTTTTATATTCTTATTATTCAATTATTAAATAGTATGTAATTTTGCGACATAGAGTACGGATAGGAAAAAAATTGATAATTAAGCTTATTGAACATTATAAGTAAATATTTAAAACTAATGATGGGTGCAAAGAGTGGTATAAATTAATAACTTAGTTTGCAAAATAAATTTAAATGAGTTTACAAAAAGTTAAAATAAATGAGTTATAAATGGGTAATTGGGTTATCCAATTCATTTTTTGACTTACCCATTTATACCCATCTAATTAAATGGGTATAAATAAGTTGACTCACTTATACCCATTACCATTTTATCCAACACAAACCGTCTAAATCACTCATTTTGACATCTCTACGCACAGGTTGCATTTATGCATTACCAATAGCATATAATTGAAACTGTAAGAGATGAAACCAATAGCATTTATGCCTCGGTCCCGGAATTTGTATTAACCACCCACCAGGCTTAAGGAAAAAGTTAAGGGCATTAAATCTGAGAAAGCCATCCAATTCTTGAACTCAATGGTGGTGGAAACATTTTTCAGCCGAGTATTGCCTGCTGTTGTTCACGCCTTTCCTAGCTTCGACGGATGAATGAATGTTTAGCATCAAACCGTCTTGAATTATTGTTTATTTTTCTGTGGAACTTGGGTATACAGTATCGAAATCTTTGTGCATACGCGCAGGAAACTGTCTTGAAAAGACAAAGCCTTAATTTCAGTTAATCAAATCAGGAACATGCAAATGCATATAAATCAATTACTATCAATTTGCTGAGATGAAGTTAAAGCAAAACCCGGATCATGAAATTGGCAAATGCGGAGACTTTTGCCTTTTCTTCTCTTCTTTTTAAGTTTTGATGAGAAAAAACCGCCGCCAGAGCAAAATGCCAAACTAACGTACGTGTGTGAGTGTGACGGATGCAAATGCATATGTCTGTATGTATGTGGCATCTAATCTAATTACGCAATTTGCTATTGCTATCTGAATTTTGGTCAAAGACTCCAAAACAAAAAAAAAAAAGAAAGAAAAGGGTAGGCAGTGGCGGATCAATTTAGTTCCTAAACTTTCATTTCATTTTTTTATGCTTAAATTCTCAATATATACATATTTTTGCCTCACTAATTTATCAATTAGCCCCCATTGATTGACAAAAGAAAATATATATTTGAGCATTGGGTTGTCAAAATCCAATATAAACATGTGGCCGTGAATGATTTGCTAAAAATTTCTAATAAGACAATCTAGTAATGCACATAATCCATCACTTCAATGATACCTTAAAACATTGGGTTTAGTTTTTGGTTTAGAGATAATTTACAAGGCAATGAATTGTAAAACATTTGTGGATCCCTTTCCTCTTGCCTTATTTATCAATTATATACGTCACTGCTGCATTTAATTACTTACTATATGTATATCATTATTGCCAAATACTCACCATTTATCGAACTCAAAGAGCTTTCATTCTGAAACTGCATGTAGGGCATCTAACTTCTAAGTGTAATTTGCCGATCCGCTTGACCACTTAAGAGCATAGAAAAAGTCAAGAAGGACAAAACCTTAAAAGGGAAAAAAAAAACTACATCGAGTAGTCAAGAAATAACATCATTTCAAATAACCAAACGAAAGATAGTACTGGATCCATTAATTGAAGGTAAATCACACTTTTATTTCTTTGGTTACAACTTTGAATAAAAACAAATAAAATTTGTAATTAACCTCTATCCTGCATTAAGCTATGAGAATTTCGATGCAGATTCTCAAGCTTTTTAAACAAGGTGATGCATCGACCAAGGATTTGCGTGCCACACTAAAAATTTGTACATCTTTGAAATTAAGAAGTACAAATATTTAATGCAGAATCAATTTTCATTATTTAAGAATTTAATAGTACTAATCAAATATGACCCCATCAAGAGCCAATACTCTCAGAGAAGGGATGACGAATGATGATGGCCATGCTGCTTTGCATGATGAAGCAGTGCTCTGCGCGAAGGATGACGATGATTCATCAATCTTGGGTGAGCCTGACCGCGGGCGTGGCTGTGGGATCGTCAGCTCCTGCAAGCAAATGGGACAGAGCACTCATGGCATGGGCTTGTCTGGACATGATTGCGGTGGTTGAAGGATTCCGGCCTAAGACAACAGCGTATCCGTCGTCGTACGAATCCATTCCTTGGGCCATGAGCTGCCATATTAAGCTTCCGCTCATGGTTCCTCCGCTTCTTGCAAAGCCGTATGTTATTCTGTACACGTTGCTCATGTAATCGTCTCTCGCACTCAAGCTGTACCCTGGATCTCTGCTGGACTTGCCAAATTCCGCTATGACTAGCGGCTTTTTCAGTATGGTCCTCGAGTCTTCCCAGTGGCTTGACACCCACCTCTGCATAAATACCAATTGTGCTTTGTCATCTTTTCCAGATAACCTGCCACCCAATGCATTAATATGTGAGATCATGATGATCATGTCGGTTTTTTAGGATGCGATTGGCAACTAAACTGAAATTAAAAGATTAACTTTATGTTCAAATTAATAAGGAATTAATTATATCATGCTTGCTTTCACGTTTTGATTGCTAAAACCATGGGATTATTGATTAATATAATTTTTTTCTTTTTTAGTTTACCATTGATCTGGATACGCATGGATGGTGGCGAAATCAACGTCCCTAAGGAGATTGCTCCTTATGAAATCTGTTCCAACTTGGTAACCAGGATTAAATTGTTTCTTTTCGGGCATTGTGTCTCCATAAAATCCTTCCATGCCAATCTCCAGCAAGTGCTTCCGGTCCAATGACTTCACGAAACTTGCCATCTCTTGAGTCCATTCCTATCAACAACACTTCAACTCATTCATTCATTCATTTTAGCCCCAAAAATGCACTAAAAAACTTGAGGGATGCTAAAAAGCAGCGGCAACGAGTCCTCACATTGACCGTCCTTCCGGAGTAATCAGCTTGGCAGCGGGGCTCGTTCATGAGTTCCCATGCCATGATTGTGGGATCATCCCTGTACGAAATTCTTGTAATTGTGTTGAACCTTGTCACCACTCTCTGCAAACACGAACCATATGCATGTTTCCAAAAAAACAAAAAAATGCATTATTCGTCCAGATTAGCGAAATAAATCTGGAAGACGTACTTGGAAACATAATAACCGACTCTTAATTGCAGCTTTCTCTTAGTCTTACCCTGATGTGATCTTTGTAATAACCTTTGATGGTGGGATGCGTGTAGAAATCATCGTCACTGTTGACGTGTGCTCCTGCATTTCGAGCCCACTGAGCATACTGCCCTCTACCCCCAAAGTCATTGTAATTGTTCACAAAACTCAATATCAAACGAATTCCATGCTTGTTTGCCTCAGAAATCACAAAATCCAGCGCCTGTATAGTGGTATACCACGTACACCAGTATTATGATTAAGCTAGCTAGTTGCAATACAAAATAGACGTGCTTGGAAAGGAAAAAAAACAATAATGAACCTGAAAAACACGTTCATCATAACTTCCAGGTGATATTTGAAGTGCACGGTCTCCTCCATCGCCGAAAGCCCAGGTTCTGCATACCGAGAGACCGGCAGCGGAGGCATCCCTCAACACTTCAGACACTTTATACCTCTGGCTAGGGTCGGCGGCTACGTGCATCAGCCAATAGGAATTGAATCCATTGAAGAGAAATGGTGAGCCATTCAGAGCAAAACGGGGACCCTGAGTCCTAACAAATCCTGCACCATTTCTTGGAACCGTACTACCGCTAGCTTCACAAGCAAGAAACTAGTGACAGCAGCGCTACTAGTGCAGCAGCTAGTCCAAAAAGATGGCTTATTCTTCTACTACAACTTGCCATTGATTGCTGCATACAATGGAATGATGTGTGTTGCTATAATGCTGGAGACTGTTAATTTGACTGGTTGATGACTGACGAGGGGGATATGATGAATTGTGGGAGGGGGGAGCTATTTATAAGGTGCCGATGATAAGAAGTGTTGCTAAAAATAGAAAACCTAGCGGAAGTTAAGTAGGTTTTCCGGTGACGGTGGTTTGCTAAATTGATTTAACTATGGAGATTCGTTCGATGATGCATCATGCATGCAGGGGTGGGGTATCACTATCACGTAAACTGGGGTGATGAGAAAGAGTATGAGAAACATAGAGACAGAGAGAGGGTTGGTTGGTTGAAAGCCGAACGTCAGCCGAAGAATTCATGGATTGAGGTAAAACAAAGAAAGGCTGGGAAGGGCTGCTAAATATAGCTGATGCGCCTATCCCATGTGTAGTACCATCTGATTCTGATCTTAGACGGGAATTCAAGAAACTCGTCTTTCTGTTTTGCTATATCTGTTTTAGTTTGTTTGTGCACGCATTGTACTTGTAGCAGCAGGATGATCATGTGGGAAAATCTGAATAACTTCCCGCTTTAGTTTGATCACGCACCCATCACATGTAATTTGAGTTTGAGGGCAACATCACAGATTAATTTAACCATTGCATTCCTGGCAAAAGACTAATAATTACTCATCATTTTATATGGGTTGCTGATTCCAGAGAAACTCTTACGCGCTCTCCTTTTTAGGATAACGATTAGATGTTTATTGATGGAGAGAAGACCAAAGATAAAATCAGCGACATTCATGAGTAGCAGATAGCACTACTAGATTTCTTTTACTAATTTTCTTTATTATTTCGGTGTAGCTAGCAAATAGCAATAATTAATGGGACCAAGAAAAGAAGAACTTGTATCCACATTTGCATTTGGCGGCTGGGCTGATAGTCCATATATAGCCATCCTCTCTTCATTGCCGACAAGCACTGTAAAACGTTTACTATAATTAATGCAGATAGACATCGAGGTAAGTCTAGCTACTAGCGCAGAAAACCAAGGAGAATTTGACAGGTACAAGAAACAGAACTGGGCTGGTATTGGAAAAGAACGCAAAGTTGAATAACCCGTTAAAAAGAGAGAACCGCGGCTGGTAGTATATCACCGGCAAGCATGCAGAAATTAGGGACCCATGGACGCATCGTATCATTGTATACTGTAACAACTTGATTGGTCCGTGTTTCGCTTTCTCTCTCTCTCTCTCCGTGGACGGATCAGAGGGTGCTGTCGTATGCTTCTTCTTCCAAATTCCACGGTGGTTCTCTGGTGCACAGGGCTGTAAACGAATCGATCCGTTCGCAGAGGGTTCGAATCTTATCTCGACTCGAGTTCGATCAACATTGAAATCGAGTCGAGTTTGAATTGATTAAATCGAACTTAAGCTCAAAAATGCTAAATTCGTTAGCTCATGAGTCAGCTCAAAAAATTTATTTTTTATTTTTTTAACCTCGAACTCGAATTTTGACATTTTGAATTCGTCGAATT